ATACACAAACACACACACACACATACAGACAGACCACACACATACACACACATACATACAGACAGACCACAGACACACACACAAAACACACATACATACATAGACAGACGCACATACTCTATAAAAGATTTTTGTATCACATAGTGCCAATCACTATTGTGTGTTTTACTATTGCTGTTATTGTAGCTATAATAATTATTATTATTAATATTAATATTATTATTATTATTATTGTTGTTGTTGTTGTTGTTATAGAAATTATTGTTGCCATTATTGTATTTTAATAGTTCATTATCGATTGATTTTTAAAGTGCAAAGATATGTAACGTTGATTCAATTGCTGGTACTCATTTCTTCCTTTTCTTCTTCTTCCTCCTCCTCTTCTTCTTCTTCTTCTTCTTCTTCTTCTTCTTCTTTTTCCTACCATTATTATTATTAGTATTTTATTAGTATTAAATAGTTATATTATTATTAGAGTTGTGACTCGTTATAGCCATACCCTGTGATGATCAAATTGAAATTCTTGAACTGCATGCCATGAAACCAGCCTGGTGCCCTCTAGACAATACAAAAAAAATAAATATTCTGACAATTAACGCTGCTATTTAAATGCCAATTATAAATATTTTTCAATTATTACCAAAAAGTTTGAGATATATCCTGTTGGTTTTTATAACAATTTCACTTTATCTCTAATTAAAATTTAAAATTTATTTGAATTGATAAACTCTGTTATAAATTTATTCAAGGGGATTTATTGTGACAGAAGCAAGCAATAACACTATTTTAAATACACTGTACAGCTCTGCAACTGACACACCGGTGAGCCAAGTATTTCAAATCTATCATCATTACTCTGTCATCTTGTTTAAATATTTGAACTCTTCTGTTATAATTCTCAACATATGTTTTATTGGAAAAATGCAAGGAGGTTCCAATTTCACCATGGCCCTCATGTAAGTAAGTAACTTCGGCTTTATTTTTAAACGAGTGAGTGAATGAATGAGTGAATGATTGGATGAATGAGTGAATCAATGGATGAATGAGTGAATGAGTAAATGAATGGATGAATGAGTGAACGAATGAATGAAAAAAAAACAACGCTCTTAGCGGCATTTTCATTTCCGTTAGTTGACTTCATTTGAAGTTTGCCATAGAGAGTAAAGTCAAAATGGCGTCCTTTTTATTTTCAATAGTTCTTTGCGAAGGCTATCCATAATTTATATTATTATTATTATTATTATTAACGGAGTTTAAAGTGATTCAGAAGACTATGGTCTGTGTAAGAACCACTACTAATTAGATCTCCTAATATGGTAAAGAAATTATTTTTCTTTAACGTTGCTCTATCGCTATTGTCTATTTTTGAGACGATTTCGTGTTTTTCTATCTTTGTTTATTGGTTTAATTTTTTTAGATGGTTTTACAACAACAAAAACAACAACAACAACAACAACATCAACAACAAAAACAACAATATTAACAATAATAAAATTAAAATAATTTGCAAACGTACGTATGTATGTATGTAGTTCTCATGTTATCCTGTCAAAGCTGAAACGTGATTTGGGTTTTTAAATTCATTCATTCATTCGTTCTTCGTACATTCATTCATTGATTGATTCATTTGTTCATTCATTTGTTCTTTTATTCATTCTTTCATTCCTTCATTCATCCATCCGTAATTTCTTTTAAACCACTAAACAAAAAAATTCTTCTTCTATTGTTCGATTCTTTAAATTTGCCGATGCGAGTTTGAATTTTAAGCAAAGCATCCGGGTTTTTTTTGTCATTCATTCCTTTATTCGTTCGTTTATTCAATTTGTTCTTCATTCATTAATTCATTCAGTTGTTTGTTCGTTCGTTCGTTCGTTCGTTCACAAGCTCTCTACTTCATTCATTCAGTTTGTCTGATGTTTTTCTTCTTCAAAATTTTTAAAAGTAAACTGAATGGCCGCAAAAGTGAAATGTTTTTTTAACGAAAAACCAAAAAAACATAGAAAAAAAGAAATAGAAGAAGTAGCCAAGCAATTTTAAGATTTCAATTTTCAGTTGTATCTGTTGGCAGCGGCTGGAAACAAATTTTGGTTTGTTAAAAAACTATATAAGTGACAGGATGTTACAGAATGAACGAATGAATGGATGGATGGATGAATGACGAACGAACTGACGAACTAACGAACGAACGAATGAACGAACGAAAGATGAATAATACAATTGAGAAAAACGAATAGAAATCTTTTTTTTAAATAATTTTTCAACTTTTCAGACAAAAAAAGCAAAAATTTCAAACAAAACTAATTAAAAAATTTAATTTCTTAAAAAATTGGTTTCCCAGCTTTTCGTTTTTCAGACATTTCCAAGTAATGCATCAACTGTGATCTTTAAATTGCAATATTTCGGAAAATCGTCAAAACGAAAAAAAACACTAAATAATAAACAATTTTTCTGTTTGTTTTTCAGCAAATTGTCATTTTGTAGCGCTGGGTTTTGTGACAGAAGTCAAAATGTCTCAAACATAACGTGTTAACCAGCTGTCAATATAATATAATTTTTTGGGTTAGTTGTTTCTTTGTGTGTTTCTATGTGTGTGTTTATGTATTTATGTGTGTGTATGTGTATGTATGTGTGTGTATGCGTGTGTGTGTGTGTGTGTATATATGCGTGTGTATGTGTGTGTGTGTATATGTGTAAACAATGTAACTAAATAAATATATATTTTTTTAATGTATTAGTTTGAACGCAAGAATTGATTTATACGTAATTATGTAAATGTAAATGCTATATACGATATTGAAAACTATTTTTTGTTATTGTTATTGTTGTTGTTGTGTTGTTGTTGTTGTTGCTGTTGTTGCTGCTGTTGTTGTAGTTGTGTTGTTGTTGTTGTTGTTGCTGTTGTTATTGTTGTGTTGTTGTAGATGTTGTAGTTGTTGTGTTGTTGTTGTTGTAGCTGTTGTTGTTGTTGTTGCTGTTGTTGTTATCCTTTTTAATGCTACAGTTGTTAATGTTATAATTGTTTCTATTAATGTGATTGCCTATGTAGTTTTTGATATTTTTATTAATATTTTTTCACGATCAGTGAGTAGATGAAATTTCAACAACAGAGCACAACAAAAACATCAACAACAACGACAGACATGGTTAACAAAAATTCGGATGTTAACAACAACAGCAGCAACAACAACAACAACAACAACATCGTCAACAAATGCAACAACATCAACACTATCAACAACAAAAACAACATCGCTATCAAAACTTTCAACAACATCATCATCATCATCTTCATCGCTATCATCATCAACTCTACGGAATGTAACGAACAAAAATGGCTGGAAATATCCAAGTACGAAGCTACAATGACGTCACCATCTTCACCATCCTCATCCTCATCATCATCTTCTTCATCCTCATCTTCATCTTCATCATCATCTTCTTCATTTTCATCTTCATCATCATCTTCTTCTTTGTCTTCACCACCACCATCACAATTATCATCACCACAAACATCATCATCGTCATCATCATCATCTTCTTTTTCATCATCATCGTCATCATCATCATCATCTTCATCATCATCATCATCGTCATCATCATCATCATCATCCTAACTACAGTAGATTAGACGCGGGAAAAGTTTGTGAAGGGACGACAATTTTCGGGTTGAAAAACTGCGGACTGTGTCAGGAAGAATTTGGAGAGAGTACCGCCAGGACTGCAAAGTGATATACACGTATGCTACATTTTGCATACATACATGCATGCATACATACATACATACATACATACATACATACATACATACATACATACATACATACATTATAGTTCTAATCAATTATGCCGTTCATACATACATTCATACATACATACATACATACATACATACATACATACATACATACATACATACATTATAT